GGCAACTTCCTAAGTCCGGGATAGATTGTTTATAAGCGAGCAGGGCGAGAAGAGAACTGTCCGTGAATCGGACGAGAGCGACGAGGAGAAATCGTGAGAATTGTCAGAATGCCGTGCGTGCCTGGCGCACACTCTCGAGGATTACCCTACGAGGGGATACGAACGTCGCTCTGCGGAGAATCCGCAAACCGGTGTATACGCGCGCCCCCGCTTTCGACCGCCTCAGAAGCGCAGGGATGCCGACGCAGTACCTGCCGATGTTCGTCAGGGCTTGCGTGCCCCTCGCTCGTTTATATTGCATTTCGAGAGACGCCGCCCTCGAGCGGATTTTTTATAGCCCACGTCGGAACGTCCCGGCGTTGCGCGTCGCCTCTCTGATTTATATTTCGCTCCTGTTTCGGTAACATCTTATCAATTATTGACTCGCGACGTGAGACACGTGACTGGAAATCTCTCCGATTCTCTCCCCCCTCTCTTTCTTTTTCTCTCTTTGCGTCTCGGTTATTATTATTTACAGGTAATAACGAATTTTTTCTCTCTACCTTGAAGTTGACACTCACATCCAACATTTAGTGGGATGGAGAATTTTATATCATATTTATTTATTTTTTATTTATATCATATTTATTTATTTTTTATTTCATATCATAATTTTGTGTAATTTCCTCGATTATATATAAAGCCGTATTTTGTACAATTATATTGCTCGTACAAATTGCAAAACGCAGCCGTGAAATTGTTAATGAAACGCGATAATATCATGGGGCGGCTGGTAGTCGGTAACCGTCATGGAACTCAACGTATTGGTAGTCACGTCGTGATTGGCAATAAACGTGAAGATCACTGTACGAATCCCTCGGCATGCCGCTCGCGTTTCATTCTTTTCGAGTTAAGCACTTTTTGTGCCGCCGCGCCGGCCGCGGGGAAGCACTTGCAGAAACAGAAGGAAGTCGATTCCGTCCAATCACCGTCGCAACCTCGCTCCAATTATCCGCGACTGCAGCTTCGTGCGGGCGCATATAGTTCCTCGGTTTTGCACACACACATGTCGTTTTTACTCGCGCGAAGGTGTTACGGTCGGAATGGCCGAAGCAGATTTTCACATTTGCAGCGGACCCTCCGCGAGTTGTTTCGCGGCGCGAATCGATCAGCGACCAATTATCGTAGGGACGAGTAGGCACTTATTGCCGCCTCGTTAACTCGTAATCATCGACGAGGCGGTAAAAGTTTTCATTGCTATTAAAATGCTTCCTTTTTCTCCGACATCCGCCAATTCTGATATTTCTTTTCAATCATGTCCCTTCCGACGAATTATTTTTATCGTTAACACAACGATTTCACTCAATGCTTCAAGTGTCCAATCAATTTTAATTAATTTACCTCGTTTTGATCAATTTACTCTGACAAATCGGATAATTTGTATAATGGCTGCGCTTTGCAAGCTCAATTATGCATATGTTATTTCGGACGAGTCTAATCTAATGCGTCACATCGCATTCAGCCAGCTATGGAATACAAACGACTCGTAACATATATATTTATTTACATGGAAGATTTATTATAAGTACCAAATTTACTCAACATATGTTTCAAATCCTGAGAAATTTAGTACTTTACAATCGAGAATATTAAATTAAAAGAAAAAGATGAAAATAAAAAGAGTATTAAATAAAAATAAAAATTTCGGTACACTTTCCTTTTCATACAGGATATAAGTTTTTTAATGTTTTTGAAAAGAGAATAAATTCTTTTCTCGACTACGCGATAATATGAACTATTTTAAAATTTGCAATCAATACAAATCGAAGACTTTTATCAGAAAAATATTCCTTGTTGAAAATGACGATTACCAAAAAGTGTATCCTATGCGCGCAATATTAAAGGATCCTCGAGGACATTGGTGTATTCGTGTATATATTCGCTGAGCGAATGCGGCTTCTTCCCGTTTGGCCGCAGTCTTTGGCAGCCACAAAGCCATTTGTGTCCCGCGAATAAAGTCGCGCGTGCACACGAAGTGCCCGGAAAATAGTGCGGGTTTGTAAGCCGCCCCTTCCCTTCCGTTGCTCTCCCCCGCACCCTTCCTATCACTCACCTTTCTTCCCGCCCCCGTTCTCTTCGAGGAAATTGGCAGCTACGTCGAAACCCTTTTGTCGACGGCGAGCTGCATGCACGCCGGAGTAAACAGCTGCGAATGCCATTTCAATAACGGCTAAGCATCCAGATAGGGTTTTGGTCCTGGCCTGCATTCAGCCGTATGGCTCTTTGATCAAGCGGCCGGTCCTCGAAAACGTAGTCTGGATAAATTCCGCAATGGCTCTTTCTCGTTTGTGTACTCTTTCCCCGTCGCTCTTTCATTTACTGTGCGGAACGCCTCTCGTATACCTCTCACTCTCGCGCTGCACTCGTATTATTTTAAACTTACTAAGCGGATAGGTTAAGGAGAGTCAATCGTTTGCACGTTAAACGCTACGATACGGCATTACGAATAATAATACGAATAATAAATTAACTTTTAAAGAAGTTTCTTTAATGTTTCACTCTATATTTTATTTTATCTTCACGACTGTCTGCGAGCGGTTTCCACAAGTGAGATCTTGCGTTAACTTTTACTTGCTGTTTTCCCTTTGTTAAAAAGTGATCTACGTATAAGATTCAACGAGTGATCAGGCATTATAATCAAATCAGACATTATATCGCCGCTGAGAATACGAATTAATTTCTAAGCGGTATCACAGCAGCCACTGGACGACGATAAATTGACACATTGTACATCGGCGGGGCATCCGCGCTTTGACGTGGCCGAAAAAGCGCCGAATACGAAGCATTAATACGAGCACTTCCCCGAATTTAATGAACGTACCGGCCGCGATAGAAGCGTCCTTTTTCATACGGCCGTCGTTTATTGCAGGCGGCGGCGGCGGCGGCGGCGACGGTGGCGGCTTTATTGGCCGCTTTCATGCGCACCTAAACGCGACGCTGTGCCGTGCTCACGCGTATCACGCGGATCGGGAAACCGACGAAAAACGATGAAAGCCTATGAAAGCGAGCATTGTGGGTGGTTTCATGAGGGGCTCGGGGTGGGCGAGACCATGCGGGCAACGTAGCGAGGGGACGGGAATCCCATCTGTCGGCATTTTTGCACCGACATTGTGCGCCTGTTTATATCGACACCGTGCGAGATACGGACCGTGCGAGAGACGGAAAGAGAGAGAGAGAGAGAGAGAGAGGGGGGGGAGGGAGGAGAGGGAGAGAGGGGGGAAAGAGAGGGAGAGGAAGAGAGAGAGAGAGAGAGAGAGAGAGAGAGAGAGAGAGAGAAAGGGAGAGAAAGAGAGATATGTTGGAGAGAATCCGCTTTATTGCCGTATTGCCGCGGATCCGCCGACTTTTTAGGCCTTTTTTATCTTTGCCGCACGCCACGAGGACGTCTGTACAACTCTGCACGGTGTATCGGATACACGCCGTCGTGGCTGGGCTTCTCTCCTCTCCGCGTGCTCCATGAGACTCATCCGTTTCCACGCGACGGTCAGTCACGACACTGTCGTTGTAAATTTCCAACTGACGCACGATAGCCGAAGCGTATCGGAATATCGACGTGAATTTACTCCTTTTTCTCGTGATCCCGTCGTGCACGCTCATCGCATCGATGTCGCCGAGGATCATACCCTGTATCGGACGTATCGTCCCCTTTGTCGCGTTTGCCTCGCCCTCCTGGAAAATGCCAGGGTTTAACGACAAGGGATTCCTCGCTCTAACGAGAAGCGTATCATTTCACATACAGTAGAGCGCGTGTTATTGGCGAAACGAAGAATTAATAGACCTAAATGTTATTGCGGCGAATGAGGGAAATTATAGTTGATTATTTTTCTTGTTTGGAATCTATGCCCGGAAACGTCGCATTTCCATATTACGGGTGAGATAAGATTCTGATCACGCGCTAAACAATCCTTTGACACATTTTCCGCATACATTGGATCGTCCGCCTATAGATGCTGCCGTGTACCGTGTAGGTGGACGTTGTTTTGATATTTAAGTTTCTTAACTACGAGATCTGCACAAAGTAACGACCGTAATTTAAAAAATTGGGTCTGTCTATATATTTTACATGCTACGCATGCATTATATATATGTACATATGAAACTATTTAACAAGAATTTTGTTAAGATTTTGAAAAAAATTTGAAGAGGAGAGAGAGGGAGGAAGAGAGAGAGAGAGAGAGAGAGAGAGAGAGAGAGAGGAAGATTCAATGGAATTTTATAAGATTATTTTCATCTCCTTTCCTTTGACGAGAAAATATGCTGACAAAATAACATATCACGTTTCACATATTTCATACACTGTTCATATTGCCGATATATGGATCGATTGGATGATAGATTTATCCGCTTTTATCTCAATTTTTTAATAAATTTGTATCGAATGAATGGCGAAAGAACAGACAAACTCAATAAAACTATCCATGTAGAAGCTCCAGTCCTCTCTCATGGTAAAGCAAGACAACACATGAAAATTAATTTTCCTCCTGAATTTTTATCTCACGTGCGTTGTTGACGTTACGTGTAGATATATAATAGTTTTTTTAACGCCACCTCGGTCGGTCTCGAAACTTTGGCCGCCACTTGGAAAAAGTACTTCAACTATCTCCAACTATATAAATAATAACGATCGAAACAAACAATCTACTAAACACTTCATTACACAGAAAATCGACAAATTCTCATGCGTAATTCTTCAACAATTCGAGAGCTTCTGCGTACACATAGAGAAAATTTTATGGTAAAGTTATTATTTTAGAAATTTGCAACTAAAAAACAACAATGCTATTTATAATTTAGGAGTCTAAAGTATAGCATAGTAAAATTCAAAATCAACATTAAATTTCAAAAGAATCATCGTCTCGTTTTCTTTTTCTATGAGCTTAGATCTCACACGCTCTCAATCATTGTGAATGTTGCGAGCAGCAACGGTTTTTATACAAGTTTTTTTTCCACGGGTGCATGAGGTAGTGGTGATGGTTGCTACTACTGCTGCTGCTGCTGCTGCTGCTGCTGCTGCTGCTGCTGTCGCTCGTAACCCTTACGAGTCCAGGTGGGTCCGTGGCTGTCGGTAACAAGATATGGGGGTGGTTGGAAGAGAAAACGGCGACGGGGGAGGCATGAGAGGGTACGTAGGGAGAAAAACGCGGCGGAGGTGGGAGGAAAGAGTAGACACCGCGGGATGGGTTGGCTGCGGTACGCAACCTGCTTTCTATTTGGTACTGACGCCAGCTGTTCCTCTCGTTTCAGCGTTCCGAGCGAAGGATAGTGAAGTCTGCACTTAGCATTTACAAGCGGAAAGCCGAAAAGCCTTTCGCAAGGACGTCTTGCCGTGAATACGTACTTCCTTCCGCGATCCATTATGACACGGCATGTGTGTTGGTCTTTGTCGACTTTGTCGAACGAGCCACGTGATTCTGCTTTAATATTATTTTTCAGTCGATCGAAAAGTATACTATTAACGGCAATAAATTAAAACTCTATTCAAGTTGACGAGTTTAACGAGACTACGAGAAAGGTAAAACGAATGTAGCATCAATGTATGTCTTGAAACCATGAAACCGTTGTCTCTCTTCCTCTTTCTGAAATTCTTTTCCCAGTATTTTTCTTAATTTCCAGGATATTCATGGTAGGTCAACTCTACCTTGACTCTCACCCTGTACACATACATATTCCATGTTACTTTCGACATGTTGTTTTGCTTCCTTTTTATACTTTACGTACAACATATTGACCATCGTCTCTACGGGCTTTTACCTCAACGAATTTGCTATTTCCGACGACTAAGCGTAGCTTACATCGTGCATATATGCCTCCGTATACAATACTGTTTCAGCATCATTGAACAACTTTATCCTCGTTAGATTCAGGCATCGTTCACAGTTCACCAAGTGTACCATCCGCCGAGACACAGTGCGTCGCGCTAAATATGTTTATAGTTTCTATAATATAGAGACGATATTCCTGCATGTTTTATACGTAGTAGCATCGAGTACGCCGCGCGCGCGCGCGCGCGCGCGTGTGTGTGTGTGTGTGCAAAGCACCGGCGAGGTTTGCGAGCGAGACACTTGGTCGCGCGCGCAAGGATACAATAATCGGACTAAAGATTTATCGGGTAACCTGCCGATTCGCGGAGAGGAAATTGAGCGAATACGAGCAAAGAGGTAGAAGGAGGAAAGACGCGCGTGACAGGACCTTCATCTTATCAAGGATGAGACGAGAAGATGGGACAGGAGAAAATCCCTGGAAGGAGGAGGGTTACGAGGCTGTCGGATATCGCGACTCGCCGAGATGCTCGATTGCGCACTCGTCCGTTTCGTCCGAGTCACCCCGTAGATGAGCGAAACTGCGAGTGCTCCATCGAATAAAGCGCCCGAACAAACAATGCGGCTTCCCCCCAGATGCTTCCGGTCTCTTATTTCACCGGATAGCCATCCGAACACGTGCCGCGCTTTCTCCTCTTCCTCCTTCTCCCTTTTTTCTCTTTTTCTCCTCCGTAGGTTGAGTGCGCCACTCCGTTCGCCGTTACTACCTCAATGCATTCGATAATTCGATCGCAAATCAACTGTGAGAGCGAGGGTCGCTCCGGGTCGCGGGGTTGCCTGCCGGAAGATTTCCTCTCGGCCGATTGGACACTCGTTAAATCCGACGTCGCAAGCTTCCCGCGACACGTCGATTGCCTTATTTCGCGTCGCGCCAACGATCGGTATCCACATTGCCGCGAGATATATTCGGGCGTATCGTTTCGAGGGTCATTTGCGTTACCCACGGCGCGAAAATCACGTAGTCGTGTATCGATACACAGCTCAGCTCGTACATTCGAGACATTCGAGACGTTCGATCGGATACGAGCGCGAAATACCCGAGTTGTAATGTGTGCGCGCAGGGCGCGCACTTGTGCATTATCAAAGTCAAACTCCGTCGAGACGTGTCCAAACTTCCGTAGGACGTTCTATCGGAAAGTTGCGAGACGCACTCTCTTCTCTCTCTCTCTCTCTCTCTCTCTCTCTCTCCTCTCTCTTTGTGAGCGACGCGGCGCATCGAGCTGCATCCGTGTTTGCGCGCACACATCTCTCTCGGTACGTTTGTCGCATAGAGGCGAGCGCGCCTATGCACACCCACGATCCTACGGGCCCACCTGGAGGATGTCGTCGCGTGCCATTAAGGGTCCCGTTGGCAAACGTTTAACGACGATATGCTCCGAGCACGTGTCAGGACATCCTCCTCCCGGCAATAAAAGCCCTCTTGGAGACTCGGTCTCTCTTTCTTTCTCTCTTGTGCCGAGCCACTCGTCGATCCTGCATCTCTCCTCCTACGATCGTCGGCGAGGCAACGACGCAGCCTGCGCGAGCTGCGAGGAGAGATAGAGGGAGAGGGAGTGTGCGCGTGTTCTCTCTCTCTCTCTCTCTCTCTTTCTCTCTCCTCCCACCCCCATTCCCTCCCTCCCTTCCCTTCTCACTCTCGCTCCGCTCCCTCCTTTCTCCTCCTTCTCCCTGCCTCCCTCACTCTCTCTCTCTCTCTCTCTCTCTCTCTCTCTCTCTCTCTCTTTCTCCCCCTTCTCACGCCCTCCGTCTCTCCTTCTCCCTTGACTCGCGGAAGCGGTCTGCACTTCCTGCGCGGCACGCGACTCCGAAGTCCAGCTGCTTCCTGTCTGCCACTTCTTCTCCCACCTCCTCTTTCCGTTCCGCCGACCCACGCATTATCCTACATCACCGACTCTGACTGTCCCCCTTCTCCCCCAACCCGTGATCCCGTTCGCTCGTGGCTCCTCTAAGCGTTGTGCCAAGCTCGAGCCATTGTGTTCGAAGGAGATCGCCTTTCATGCGTTCGTGATATTTCGAATTTGCATGGCCGACGGAGAGGGGTCAAACGATGCGAAAGGGGAACGGTGGGACTGCTTCGTTTTTCATCTGAGGTGGTCGTCTGTCGTCGTTATCGTCGTTGAAATTCCACGGGGTTCGATTTAAAGTAATGCAAACGCTCGCTTCCAGACACTCGCTGTTTATGAAAGTTAATTAAGTTAATATATCTCTCAAGGATCTTAATTCCGGAAAGGTCGTTCAATTACTACGTATATCAGGATCAGAAGACGGCGGTTAGTCTTGGAGAAACCGCGTCCAAAACGTGTATATACGACGGAAGTAGTTCGTGAAACGGTGATAGCTAATCCATGTGCCAACGTTCTTCAAAGTTTACCAGGAACGTATACGGAAATAGCAGGACACGTCGGGATATGCTAAGCGAGGACGTTGTCGACGTTGAATCCTCGTAGCTCGTGATAAACGTGTCGTTTTCATTCACACGAAAAAATACAATTTAAGTGTAGAATTACCGCGAGACGCGAGAATTTAGCGGTGTTTCACGCTCGAATCGCATGATAAAGTGGAGGAGAAGAGATTGTTTGTTGAGGTAAACGGAGATGAAGAAATAATAGTTGGTATGAGATGTGCCGGACACTATATATATATATATATATATATACGTATATACGTAAGAGAGGGGAGAAAAAGAGAAAGCTTGTCTTGTCAAAGTTATAGATGCGATATCATGCGGACAAATATCGCCAGGATCAGAGCAACAGCGGGCAATCTTCTTGGTATACTTTGGATTGTTGCTGTTGATGATATTGCTAGGGGTGAAGTAACAGTAGACACGGTTGGTTGCCGATAGGTGGCAGCACGGATATTCATATTAGGAAGAAATATGGATTGTAGCAATCAGATACTGGGAAGTTTTAATTAATTTGTAAAAAGAAACGACTAGTAAGTATTAATGCAACATTATCCAACGATTATTACAGAGCAATTGGAATGTTTGAGTCTTTCCTACAATATTGTTTTATCCCATCAATCCCGAAGAAACAGCATAAATTCACTCTCGTTCCTACGAGTATATTTGAGTATTTATGTGAGTACAAATGTTTTATTAAAATTTTATTACGTCCGTGACAAGAGTAAAAAGATAATTTCAAGTGTTTATAAGTAAAGAGATGGAAATTGATAAGCTTGTTAAATTGAAATTATTAGCTACACTTCCTAATCGCTGTGTGCTTGGAAATTCGATTCAACGCCGAAACCGGCGATTCGTAATTTAAAATGACTCGCGCGACGATTATGCTCGCGTGGGATACGCGCGGCAGAATAAAAAAAATTTAACTAATTGTTTCATTTGTATCACTAACCACATGTGAGCGACGATAGCTGTTTAAATAAGCGTCGTGTTTCCTCGTTCGAATGAGATTAATTAAACGAATGCGGTTTGACTGACTTTGTTTGCGATTCGATCGGATTTTTCGAGCGACGCGAGAAACGTGTGTCGAGTTGCGTACACGCCACACACACACGCGCACACATACACACACACATGTATATACGTATATACATACACAAGCGCGATATGTTGTAAATGCATTTCATCGTCGTCCTTCTGTTCTGTCCACCTGTCTTCCTCTCACTTTGCGCGATGCTGTGCCGGAGGCGCAGGCGCGTGTCCCGCGCGGTACAAACGATATCGATTGCCATAATTAACCAGCCGCAACAGGCGTTGCACGGCATGATGTTGCGCGAATGGGTGCACGCGTACCCGCTTACTTGCTCCCGTTGCACGCACTCATCGATGCGATCCGGCTCGTCGGAATCGTGTGTCTCGCACTGGCGACTCACACCGGCTGCCTTTAACGTTGCACGTTGAAACTTTCGGACAGTGGACATCTCGCGCTCAGGTCGCCTGTCGGTCGCACTGTCGAGGCTGTCGTAACTTCAAACGCGATTTGTTGCCTGCACGCAGTTGGCGCAGGAATTAATTCCCGCGCGGATAACGAAGAGGTGAAATGTTTCGGCGTTATTGGCATCTTCGGCTTGCGCCCTTCTCCCCTCCCCCCCCACGTTCTTATCGGATTTCGATCAGACGAGATCGTGCGGCCTCCTGGTAGGAGGGAAAACAATTTGCTTGCCTTGGTTGGTGGAAAAGCACCCTCTTAGGATCAGGCCGACAGTCTCTTGATTCCTGTGCATTCGCTCGTGTAAATTGATCACGCCGTGTGTGTGTGTGTGTGTGTGTATGTGTGTGTGTGTGTGTGTGTGTGTGTGCTCGCGTGCGCATTCGCGCGTGTATGGGGTTGGAGGGCTTGCGGCCGACGCGGCGCCTCCCTTTTCTTTCTTTTTAGTATTATATCCATCCACCCACTCACCCATGACCCGAGCCCGCGTGAAAGTGAAGCGCGTGCCAGCAGGGCACGGGAAAAACGATTAGTTTTTAATTTGCTCCGGGTCAATACGATCGCGTGAAATTTTGTGGTCGGAAGGCTCGCGTTCATTCATTCTCGCTTCAGATTTTTCGGCAGTTTTCGAGAGCGTCGTTTCTCCCTTTCCTTCCTCCCTCCCTCCCCCCCTCTCTCTCTCTTTCTCTCTCTCCCTCTATCAGCTATCTCCTCTTTTTTTTCCCCATCTTTTTTTTATAGAGGCGTTTCGCTTCACGTCCAACGTCTGGCTGCACGGTCGATCAGAATCGGAATTGCCTTCGACCGCAACTCGATCAAGAAATACCC